GTTTTTGACAGGGTAAAAAAAGGTGTTTTTTACACTACCATTGAGAAATTTTAACCAAACTATGTTACAGACTTTTCATTAAGACCCCAAAGAATCATATCAACTTGTGGAAAATGGGCATCCTATGACCCCTTTAAAGAATTTAAAATGCTACACAGGTACCATTTTTCAAAGCGATGACACGAATCATTGAATCATTTGAAATGAATCTGATTTTCCAGCTTGATCGTTTTTGCAATTGATATTTAAATCAGAAATATGTGACAAATACGCAGGCACAAAACTGAACCACTACCACAGGCTTTAGGGAACTACATGACTCAATTAAAAAGTGCATTAAAATCACTGGCATTATGTAATTTTATATTGCCAAGAAAATGATATTGAGTGCGTTTACATGCATGCTCTCAAGCCGATTATGCGTAATAAGCCGACAACGCACATGGTCACGTAAACACGGTAACCCGTTTTCTTTTATCGGAGTAAAGTCATAAATGGCTTAAGAATAAACCGATCGACACAGGTCGTTTTTTGCCTCTCACTCCAATTTCACGTGGCATGTAAACGCATTAACCTCGGCTTATTGAAGTGCGCATGTGTGATATGCGACAGGAATGCATCATTAGTGCAGCGCATCCAGACAGAGCGAGCGTTTTGCAGTAACGAAAGAAGGAAAAATATCACAAACGCAGACTCTTGTGTGTTCTCATCTCATGCAGCAGAAGTAGTTCAGTCAAAACGCTGCATCTATAACTGCATGAGAGGATAATATATGAGCTGCAAGTTTCCCACTTACATGTTGCAAGTTTTATTTAACACCACAACTTAAAACATATGCTATACTCGTAGTCAGATATGCAAATGATTATGTTTTGACATCACTACAGGGAAATAACCTGATTTATTAATGTCATGTAAACGAGGTTTACTTGCGCTGTCAGGTTAACTGATGTGCGTGTAAACGGGGAAAACTGGTTATTTTAACAAGCTGATATTTGTGAGTTATCAGCTTACTGGTGTGCATGTAAACGTGCTCATTGGATATATTGTTCTTAATGAATATAAGTGTAAAGCTCAGTCTTATCCTAAACATTTCCAATCTAAATACATTTTAATGTAACACAGATCATTAGAAAATGAGCTTAAGTGAGACGTCTCACCAGGTAAATAAAGGAGCGAAGGAGCAGCACTTCTGTTAGCGTGATTTGAGAGACTAATGGAATGTGGCCATGAGGGAAACCAGCAGCCAGGAGTTCAAGAACATTGTGACATGGATTCTAGGACTTCCTCTGACCCTCACTGTAAACAACTCCCCCATCATATCCCACATCACTCGAGCCCAAAGCAGCCCACTATGCTGGATTAAAAACAAAGAAACGCCTGGGTCACCAACTTAAAATGGTCAACAGCTATACCCGTCCCTAATTTAGCTGCTGCTTATTAAGGTGAACGATAGACTGCTGTGGTTAAGTGTATCCTGAGCAAATGTTGCTATGAATCGATTGGAACTGATCTGTATTGAATTTTATTTTTTTCGCAGGTTTTGAATGAGTATTTCCACAATGTGTGTGAATTAGATCTGGTCTTCAATTTCTACAAGGTAAGTGTAGAACTAACCTAATACTAACACTTTTCTATAAAAAAGCACGTGTATATCTGTCTATATCTATATAGAATTATTAGTATTAAAAAGATGGTAAGTTTCTTTTTTTTAATGCTCTTGAAAGAAGACTTTCAAGCTTCTTATACTCACCAAGTCTGCATTTATTTGATTAAAAATACAGCAAAAAAACAGAAATAATGTGAAAAATTATTGTAATCCAAAATAACTGTTTCTATTTCAATATATTTTAAAATGTAATTTATTACTGTGATGGCAAAGCTGAATTTTCAGCATCATTACATGATCCTTCAAAAATCATTCTAACATGCTGATTTGCTGCTCAAGAAACATTTATTATTATTATCGTTATTCATGTTGAAAACAATTGTGCTGCTCAATATTTTTTTGGAATTATTTGATGAATATAAAGTTTGAAATAACAGCATTTATTTTTTCAAATAGAAATCTTTTGTAACATTATACATGTCTTTGTTGTCATGTTTGATCAATTTAATGCATACTTGATAAATAAAAGTATTTATTTCTTAAAAAAAAAAATTTAACTGACGTGATTCAGCATGACTTACCTTAACCAATCAAGAGTCGCTTGTTGTAATTTAAATGAGTGAGATCTTTATAACAGTATAACAGACTACTTGCATAAAATGCACATAAATATCAGTTCTAGTAAATAACTGATATTTAATTACAGTAAGATGATATTTAAATGTTTAGTTTCTGATCAGAGCTCTGTAGTTTTTATTGTGAGGGGCAAAACATATAATGCAGTTAAATAAAATAATTGAGAGATTTACAAATAAACCTGATACATTTTAACATTTTAAAAAAAAAAAAAAAAAAAAAATGTATAGAGTGAACCTAAGTTGATTCAGTCCAGTATGAGGTTATCTTGAAATATTACTAACAATATTTCAATATCAGTAATGATTTCACAGCAAAAAGACCAGGAGGATGTTTACAATAATACTAAAAAGGCCGTTTACTTGCTAAAAAAGTATACACTATCAATCAGACGACGGAATTTTCCAGCAAGTTTTGATCATGATGATAATTCAGAGCCCTTTGCGTATCAAATGTGATGATACAGTAGGGTTTTGTTTTTGAATGAACTGATAGAGGCGTCGGTTGCTGTCATGTTTCAGGTATATACAGTGGTGGACGAGATGTTTCTGGCAGGAGAGATCAGAGAGACCAGCCAGACGAAGGTGCTCAAGCAGCTCCTCATGCTGCAGTCTTTGGAGTAACGAGCCTGTCAATCAATCAATCACCATTGCTACAGGCCCCGCCCACCCCTGCTGCAGCCAAGTCATATGATTTGTTACGTATGGATGCCGTCTTGCTGAAATACAGCCACAAACATTTCACGTCCACGATGAAGGATGTTGCCATTCTTTTCACATTCGCAAGTTTATAAAATCTCCCTGGTTACTGACCTAATTATTCTTTGGCATAGCCAGAGTTGAATACTTCAGCAATTTTATAGCACAGTAGACTTCAATGTCTCCAAGCCCGTTCATTAACACTAACACAGATAATAGCATCACGCTGGCCAAAATCTGCCACGGAAGCATCGGTTCTGTAAACGCAAAACCCATGGGCTGCACTACTATATATATATA